CCCCAAAACCCCAAAACCCCAAAACCCCATGAGCATGAATTAACTAAAAGTAGCGAATCTAAAAGATTTTAATATTGAATTGCTTAGTAAATTATACTTGGGATAATATACTATCGGAATATTTACCTCCAAAATAATCGAGATTTATTTTGGATTTAGCATCTATTTTTGCACTTTCTCATTAGTTTTTTTTCTCTTTTTTGGTATTATCTACCTTAGGATGCTTAGAATTGTTCCAGTACAAAATAAATTGAAGGACTATTATCCCATTTAGACAAACTGCTACAACGAAGCCAAGCAGGAAAACGAAATCATCGGTCTCAACAATGACGGTTCCTAGACGAGCCAAACTTCCACCAAATCCAAGGAAGAATGTAATAAACGCAAGGTTTCCAGTTGACTTGTTTTAGAAGTTAGTGAAAATTTGAGGGAGTCTAGAAGAGCACACTATAACATTTTTGAATTAATCAAGATTTACATAGTAAGATGTTAATTTGGGCAATGAAAGTCCAAGCTTCTTCGCTTAAAAGTGTGTCATTTAATAGGATAAATGAGTAAACGAAGAAAAATGCTGATAAAATAAACTTTTCTAGAGCAGTGATTGTTTTGCTATAAGTCCAAAACTGTAAAACAATAATGGCGAGTTGAATCAGGATAATAATGTTCTCACCACTGACACTGAAAGGTATTTTCATGTGAAGACTGTACCCAGTAGAGTTCATATACATCAGTAGCTATATACAACATTAGTAATTAATATCTTTTCCATGACATTTTTATTTGAATAACTTTTAGAGATAAATGTCAAACTTACGTCAATATAATATAGGTACTTAGAAATACCCTCAACTGATTTGCTCTTTAAGATCTTCAGGATTTGAGGAACTTTTATAATAAATGCTCCAGCGATAATGGTATATCCGATACATTTACTTATAGTTATTTTCAAGCATTCCTTATTAAAAAAGTCTTTCTTCTCAAAAAATGTGTCAAAGCAGTCCTCTCTGAACACGAACCATTTAAGTGGAACTGATGGTGCATTTGATGCTGAGACTGAAGCCTCCACTACTGATAAAGCAGCAATTGCAAGCAATGCAACGATGTTGAATTTAGCCATAAACATTTCTAGGTCTTATTTATTAATAATTAGTTATTATCCTTTAAATAATCATTTACATCCTATTTTTTTACTCTCTATCAAATTTTCAATCTTAGATCTCGGGGTTTTGGGGTTTTGGGG